GAAACTGTAACCAGTTCGGCATGAGAAGCTTTATGCTTCCGTGGTACTTTTTTTGATAATACACTTTCTGCTCCGTTTGAGAGACTTTTGAAAGTACTCCTGTATTCACTCCTTTCCGTGCCCTTTCGATATTATATATTACTTCACTAATTGCTTCAGTTTCCTGGAAACAACTTCCGAAAGACTTGCAAAGTCGTCTTTGTTCGAAACTTAGAATAAGCTCTTGCCGACGTAAAACCAACTCGTTCTGAAGAACTTCCAAAGCTGTCTTTGTTCGAAACTTAAAGTAAGCTCTTGCCGACGTAACATCAAGTCTTCCAAGACCTAATTATATGTTTATATTTAGATTAAAGTTATTGACCCAGCGAAAAAGAGTTGTGAAACACTTCTTGGCTCCGGTAAACCAGGCCTGTCTTCTGACCAGGGCGGAGTGCAGTTTGACGAGCCAGGTGGATTGTGCGTCAGCCCGGATGGACAAATGCTGTATGTAGCAGACACAAACAACCACGCCATCCGAGTTATTGACTTAAACACACTCTCAGTGTCACAGGTAAAAGGTTACAAATAGTGTTCTTTAGCTGTATGCTAAAGAAGGTAATGTTTATGTTTTAATGGGGTAAGTTTCTGAAGTGCTGCGTCGGTGTGAGTAACAAGGAGATTTTGGTTTTATCAACTGTGTCGACAATGAAAATTGGCCACCGTAAAGAGTTTCAAAGCTGAAATTTCGAGCGTTAGCCCTTCGTTAGAGCGAATGATTGGTTAATGAGTGATTTATGTTTGTGTTGTCGGGGAAAATGGACGATGATATTTGTGGTGCGTGTGGTACGCTCAGAACCATTCACTCCTGTAACTGGTGAAGTGATCAGCAAGAGTAAGGCAATTCATCCGGTACGTTCTAAGCACCCGGTAACAAGCAATTGGCGCTGTTCACAATTAAATTCTGCTATATCGCGCATGGCAAGACGCGGTACCACAAGTAGATGTAGCGAAAGATGAAATACAAACGCATTCAGGCCGTTACCATGAACAAGTACATGTACGACCCGCATGATTTTTTTGTTGCACCACATTTACTTTCTTCCCATTGAACGCAAAGTTCACTTAATTTAGGCCGTTTCTGTATATTTAATAATTATTCCACGAGCGCGCGTTGGATATGAGATGATAGATAGCCAACGAGGCGCGTAGCGCAATACTCATTTCAACACAATACTCATCTCATATCCAACAAGCGAGAGT